TCGTTCTAAGTTAGTCGAATTAAGTCAATATGAGTTGAATTTTGTTTCATGATACATATAAACATACACTCATTCATTTACAACCTCCAAAACATGGAAAATCATGTATTTTGAGTAAAAGTAAATATTCTCGCCCATGGGCCAAAATGTGTTCCGCCCATGGGCGAGATTTTTTAACATCGCTCTAAGTTAGTCAAATGGAGTCAAAATGAGTTGAAATTTGTTTCAAGGTACTTATAAACATACACTCATTCATTTACAACCTCCAAAACATGGAAAATCATGTATTTTGAGTAAAAGTCAATATTCTCGCCCATGGGCCAAAATGTGTTTCGCCCATGGGCGAGATTTTTTAATATCGCTCTAAGTTAGTCAAATTAAGTCAAAATGAGTTGTGTCATGATGCTTATAAACATACACTCATTCATTTACAACCTTCAAAACATGGAAAAACATGTATTCTGAGTAAAAGTCAATATTCTCGCCCATGGGCCAACCTACTTTTCGCCCATGGGCGAGATTTTGTAATATCGCTCTATGTTAGTCGAATTAAGTCAAATTGAGTTGAATTTTGTTTCATGGTACTTACAAACATACACTCATTCATTTACAACCTCAAAAACATGGGAAAACATGTATTTTGAGTAAAAGTCAATATTCTCGCCCATGGGCCAAAATGTGTTCCGCCCATGGGCGAGATTTTTTAGCATCCATCTAAGTTAGTCGAATTAAGTCAATATGAGTTGAATTTTGTTTCAAGGTACTTATAAACATACACTCATTCATTTACAACCTCCAAAACATGGAAAATCATGTATTTGATTAAAAGCCAATATTCTCGCCCATGGGCCAAAATGTGTTTCGCCCATGGGCGAGATTTTTTAATATCGCTTTAAGTTAGTCAAATTAAGTTAAAATGAGTTGAAATTTGTTTCAAGGTACTTATAAACATACACTCATTCATTTACAACCTCCAAAACATGGAAAATCATGTATTTTGAGTAAAAGTCAATATTCTCGCCCATGGGCCAAAATGTGTTTCGCCCATGGGCGAGATTTTTTAATATCGCTCTAAGTTAGTCAAATTAAGTCAAAATGAGTTGTGTCATGATGCTTATAAACATACACTCATTCATTTACAACCTTCAAAACATGGAAAAACATGTATTCTGAGTAAAAGTCAATATTCTCGCCCATGGGCCAACCTACTTTTCGCCCATGGGCGAGATTTTGTAATATCGCTCTATGTTAGTCGAATTAAGTCAAATTGAGTTGAATTTTGTTTCATGGTACTTACAAACATACACTCATTCATTTACAACCTCAAAAACATGGGAAAACATGTATTTTGAGTAAAAGTCAATATTCTCGCCCATGGGCCAAAATGTGTTCCGCCCATGGGCGAGATTTTTAACATCCATCTAAGTTAGTCGAATTAAGTCAATATGAGTTGAATTTTGTTTCAAGGTACTTATAAACATACACTCATTCATTTACAACCTCCAAAACATGGAAAATCATGTATTTGATTAAAAGCCAATATTCTCGCCCATGGGCCAAAATGTGTTTCGCCCATGGGCGAGATTTTTTAATATCGCTTTAAGTTAGTCAAATTAAGTTAAAATGAGTTGAAATTTGTGTCATGATGCTTATAAACATACACTCATTCATTTACAACCTCAAAAACATGGGAAAACATGTATTTTGAGTAAAAGTAAATATTCTCGCCCATGGGCCAAAATGTGTTTCGCCCATGGGCGAGATTTTTTAATATCGCTCTAAGTTAGTCAAATTAAGTCAAAATGAGTTGAAATTTGTTTCATGATGCTTACAAACATACACTCATTCATTTACAACCTCCAAAACATGAATTCTGATCGAAATTAAACATTCTCGCCCATGGGCCGGCCCATGGGCCACTGTTCGCCCATGGGCCTGCCCATGGGCGAGCGAGTTTAAATTTAAAGTTTTCGAAAGAATTTTTTTTCATTTTTTCATCCTTGGCATATATTCATAACCACTGCATGTTTAATTTGGTCAAATCCCTTGTCAGAAAGTGCCCACAGTGCAGAGAGTTTCTGGACTTTTGTGAGTCCAGAATTAAATTGTGACGTGTTAAATAAACTTCACAATAGGTCTCAAATGTCAAATGAATTCTATCCCGGACGAGCCCCAATTTTGTTAAGGTTAATGATTTGCTGTGACAAAAGGTTTAAGATTCCCCTTTGAACCAGCAAAATAGAACACAGACAAGTCTAAAATATTCAATAATGTATTGAACAAACAATGAATACCTGTTGATGGAGCACTAATGTGATTGTAAAGATGCTCATTTGATTTTCCGACATCCAGGGTAGTGTTTTGCACGATCGCTAAAATGTGTTACTGAAAAACGTCTTGATCTAACGTCTTTTGTGATGTCACAACCAAATCAAATCAAACTTTTTTTGCTCGATATTGATCTTTGTCGAAACGATGCATCTTCTGAATGTTGTTTTATACGGAGAAGAAAACTGTTGACATTGACTTGAGGCAACAGAGGTTGATCACTCATAGGGGACAGTGCAATTGGTTTAGACAGAGTGTGATCTCTTTGATAACATCGCACTTTCAGGAAAACAGGCTTGTGAGAAAAGCTTTTGAATTTGAAGAATCTGTTTTTACTTGCTCTTGGATGAATACTTCAAGGATGAGAGTCAGAAGTTGATACATTGGCTGAATACGCCACTGTACAGGAATCACATCATATGGTTGTTGATATAGTTTAAGTATGAACAAGATAGCAAGAATGCCGCCACATACATTGGAAATGTACTGTAGCAAAGAACATCCGTAAGATGCAAATGCAGGCCAGAGAGTGGCCTGTCCATAATCTGTAATTGTCTTGCTGTGTCTGAGTGAAACTAAATTTAAATCTACATGACAAACATTTCAGTGTTATAAAAACAACGTTCATTGAGGCAAATAACTACACTATGGAGTAGAAACACCACCAAGAATGTAAATTACAAAATATATGACAACGCCAGAACAGCCTCTCACACAACAATGCCCTTAAAGGTGTTTGGCTTGATCGTGTTAATTCTTACCAAACTGCTTCTCTGCGTTGGATACCCGCTTCATGTCATTCAGTTATTTGATTGGAATAAGAGTGTTATTTCGTAAAACTGGTTTCTCTCTTTAAATGAGTTTATTCATAAGCACGGTGCAGAGGTTAGCTTGGATTACCGCATGTGTTGCCACACTTCATGGTCTTCAATCCACTGAGCGTAGTGTAGCGTGTCCAAGGAAATCTTTCTTACAATAACTCAACCGTTAAATTAAAAAAAAAGTTTCAACATTATACCACGTCCCTTTGGGAAGATATTTCTACAGTCAACATCACTGTCATTATCTACGTTTCAGATAAAGGGCAATCCCATTGTGCTCTTCTAAGATTTATGCTAAGTTTTACGTTTTCGCTGTGACGTGTTCCTGACAAAAGCACAGTTCCAACAATTCGTAGCTCTCTGACCTTCCAAACTTAAATAGTGTAAGGTATTTTTGTACCATTTCAGAGTGTACATTTTGTGCCAGACTCTGTTTAATTGGATGTGGCGATATGGCAAATACAATAGTTATCTTGAAATGGCAGGAGGTGTACTTGGGTATACGTCGGTGAACATAATTTCGTGTGATGGTTGTGTCTAGATTCTGTCATTATGTGCTAATTGCAGTTGTGATATATTTGATTTATATTCTATTGTTTGTGCAGTTCGTTCTTATAAAGTCCCTCTGGTTCTCTGTTACGTAAACTAGGCATATTTATAATTTTGAGAAATTAAATTCCATTTAAAATGTACATGATGTTTTTATGTATTTGATCAGTTACAAAAGTCCCTAAAGAAGTAATATGTTTTCAGTTCAGTTTCATATGTGTTCTCCAGAGATTTTCCTATTTCATCAATCAGTTAGTTTTGTGCAGTTTCGTTTGGAGTCATGCATTTTCTTTACGATATTGCAGTAATCTAACAATAAATCATTTACGTTTTCACAACAAATCTTAAATACACGCACCCCCTGGATCCATGTCAGACTCAAAATGTAATTATTATATCGTTTAATTTTATCAAGCTAAAAACATCAACAATATATCCGAAAACACCAGATTCTCTGGAACTTGGTTTGTATTCTGTTAAGCAATCTAATTACACGAGGAATCAAATGACTCGGTCTACTCTTTAATCATTAGATAATTTTCACTCTCACTCTTACGATCGATAGCGATGCTGCATGTAATGGAAGATGAAGACCCAACAAATCATCAATAAGGAAAGTTCTTTGCTTTTGAGGTGAGTGCAGAAAACACCCCAAAACGTTTGAGTGATGACGTTGATACGAGGCATGAATAACAACGACCATGATCTGTGTAATTACACAGATCTTGTCAATATAATAGCTATATGACAGAGGCATGTATAGAATCTAGTCTGGACGAGATAATCTAGTGATTGGTATCATGGGTATCGATCCACACCATGGGGTCATGAATGATTTACAATATGAATTAAGGTGCCTGACTGATTAAGGACTAAAATACTATGGAGATTGTTTATAATAGAATCTACGGTAATACATGAATAGCATGACACACAACACGTTCTTTTAAGGTGTTTTTTTTTATCTCATTAGTTCTCACCAGTCTGATTGTTTGTATTTAATAGCATCTTGATGTGTTATTTAATAACACTGCTTTCTCTCCTCAAATGAGTTTCTTTGTCAACCTGATGCAGAAGCTAGTGCAATGTGTTGCTTTTGTCGCCCACAACGGGCTCATTTATGGCCATGACTCTACTCATGTTTGTTGACTTTGACGAAAGGCACCTTTCTTACCATAAATCAACCAGATCAACGCTTTTATACCACGTCCTTATGGGAAGGAGTTTCTTACAGTCTATTCCTCTGACATTATCAATGTGGGACTAAAGACAAGTTTGTTGAGGCTGTCTAAGATTTATGAGTGTGTCAATGAATAAATAGATCATTATTCATAATTTCTAAATTTACATGTATCCCTAGCTATTTTTGTCCAGTATATTTGATAATGATTCATCCACAGATCCCCACAGCATTTAAGAATTCTTCTGATCATGACAAATGTTTTGTTGCTTAAACACAACATACATGAGTTCATTGAGTGAGTGAGTGAGTGAGTGAGTGAAAGTAACTTTACACCGTATCAGCATTTTTGCAGCTTTTTACAGCGATTTATGAGTTCATTTGTTTTTTCTTAACCAAGGAGGTCTGTGACATAATTACCAGTTTTACGCACGATAGATTAAGCTGTTGATTAATCTTAAAACTTAAATGGAGACCAGCTTTGTCAAAGTGAAGGATTAACAATCAATTGAAATGAAGTATTCAGAATGCATTGAATTGTGCAGTTTTCAAAATTACGATTTATTGTCATATTTTGATTTATGATGTTTGAAGCTCTGAGTAATTAGATATGTTAACCAAAATCCGGAATGGAAACACCTTTTCACTTCTCTGTCACAACATTCTCTAAGAATGCTTGTCATTATATTTTCCGACATCCAACATCGCGTTTTTCAAGAACGTCAACAACACACATTGATTAAACGTCCTTTGGGATGTCAAAAGTCATATCGCACTCTTTCTCTTGACGTGGATCTTTGTCCAAATTTTGCATCTTCAGAGGGATGTTTTATAGTCAGACGAGAACTATTGAAATCGACTTCAGAGATTGATCATTGATCGGAGATTGTTAAAACCTTTTAGACAGAATGTGGTCTCTTTGATGACGGCGTACCTTCAGGCAAACAGGCTTGCGATTATAGCATCTGAATTTGACAAGAGGAATACAGAAGTCTGAGTCTGAAGATGGAACCTTGATTGGATACAGGATCACGACATATGGTTGTTGATTTCATTGAAGCATGATGAACAGAGGGTTGTTACACATATGGAGTGAGTGAGTGAGTGAGTTAATACTTAACGTCACATCGGCAATATCTCAGCCATATCGTGACGAAAACAATTTATACAATAGAAATGAAAACATTTTGTTTACACATATGGACATTTATTGTGTTGTACAAAAAGAAAAGAACTAATTGCAGCATGCATATACAGATCAGAAAGCAGCCTGTCCATTGCCTGAAATTGCCTGAAACTGAACACACATGCTAAACATTTTCACAGGCTTTAAAAAACAACGTTGAAGCAACCACGGTATAAAAACTCAACACAGCAATTCATCTGGAAGGAGCAAGGTTTTTGTTCCTATATTTGTTATTGAACACAAGGAATGTTTTGTAGACAGAATGGACTAAAACATCACAACATTTTGTTACTCAGTTGGAAGAAACGTGTTTATTTGGTAAAATTGATTTCTCGTAAGCATGGTGCCATGACTAGCGCAATGTGCCACTTTTGTTGCCCACAACGGTGTCACAATTTATGGAGTTAAGTGTGTCCAAAGAAGCCTTTCTTACAATAAAAATCATGTTTTATTCAAAAGGTGCCAACATTTATACCCTTTGAGAAAGTAGTTTTATACAGTCAACATCACTGGCATCATCTACGTTTTGTGAGATTAGAGGCAATAGTGCTGTGCCTAAGATTTACAACTGACTTTTATGTTTTCATCTGTCTTTCGGAAGTTTTCTTAAAACGAACATTTCCAACCATGCGTGGCTCTGTTACCTTCCTCAGCTGAGTAGTGTAATGTATTTTTGTATTATTTAAGTGTTCGTTGTTTTGTACAATACACCTTTTCATTGAATATGACCATATGGTGAAAACAATAGTTATTTGAAATACCAGGTGTACTTGGGATCAAGTCAATGAATTTAATTTCGTGAGATGGTTATGTGTCTGGATTATGCCATATTATCGTTGAGATATATTTAATTCATATTCCATTCCACCTGATGTATTTGAACGTGTTATGTGTTCTTTCAAACAGTGAGTAATCTCCTGAGGTATCAGTCAATTTGTTTCACTCTGTTGATCATTGCATAATTTACAATTTTACCCGTTACGACGTTACCTGTACTGGTAGAGAACTCACCAACAAAGTGTCCGTAACAAAAGTTATTCAGGTGGGTGAAAGAAAACACCAAACATGATGACAGCCCCGTACAGGCCATAGGTAGCAACTATGATATGTTTAATGACAAACGTCTTGTAAAGAGTCGAGCATCGACCACATAATCAAGTGATTGATATCCTATGTAACGACCCACAGTATAAATTAAGGTGCCAGACTCAATGAAGACTAAATACATCCTAGGATATTTACAGAATAGCCTCACACATAATAACTTCTTTTACGATCCTTTGGTCTCATTAATTCTCACCAGTCTGCTTCTATGCACTTAATAGCGGCATGTGCCAATCTGTTTCTCAAATGAAACAAATCTAACGTTTGATAACATTGCCTTCTCTCCTTAAATGAGTATCTTCGTCAGCCTGATGCAGAAACCAGCTCAATTTGCTCCTTTTGATGTTCAAAGCTGGCTCACAATTTATGGCCATGGCTCTACTCAACATAGTTTACTTTGACCAAATATACCTTTCTCACAATAAATACACCATTTATTTCAGAACGTTTCCACATTTATTCCACCTCCTCGTCGGGAGATATTTCGTTCATTCAACATCACTGGTATTATCTTCGTTTGTTGGATTAAAGACCATCTTGTTGTGACTATCTGAGTTTTACAGGTGATTTTTGTGGTCGTGTGGAAGTGGTTTTCTTGAAAAGTGAAGAACACTTCCAACGATTCATGACACTTACTATGACTTTCATCATTTGGAAGGTTGGGGTGGGCCTTTATCATCAATCATCTTTCTTTATGGAGTCACATATTTTTTTTAACATGTTTGCAATAACCTGACAATAAATCGTGTATGACAAAGGTACAAGAATCTGAATCAAAACGTCGCACTCACGAATAAAGAAGTTGTAATCTATAAAGTTCGTTCTATATAGCAGAGATTTTGTCTAGATGTGGAAAGGGTTTTGTCGCTTCTTTTTACAAAAATGACATTTGTCCTAAGCCATGTGTAAACTTTACTCATAAATACGATTTTAAGCAATTACACTTTGGATGTGAGCACATTCAAAGAATATCATAGGAGTGTCACTTTCATTGGTGACATAAATGATCACATGCTGTTATGAGGTATTGGGTCCTCAAGTACAGGATCCTAGGCTTGTAGCAGCCCAGGTATATTTGTTGCAAGTCGCTATTGGTCTCTGTAAATAATTTTGCGTTGCATAATGATGAGGCTGTTGGTGGTTACCACAGTTGCACACTTACACTATCTCCGTTTGACACGTAAGTTATTCGAAAATCAAGACCGAAAATGGGCAACAGGTCATGTTAAAAGTTTCCTTTGCTACGTTGTTGAGTCCCATGGTTCCATGCTCGTGGTTATCTTGTTTACCGAATTGACAGAGTAATGAAAATCAAACTAAAATGCATTACACTGAGTTTTGTTTTAAGTTTTAGTTTTGATGCCATATGAATTGTTGTGTACATTTTGATTTCAAAGATTCGCTTGTTCTTCAGTGATCTTCTTTGCTTTGTTGCTAATTATTAAGATCTTGAAGTTGAATAAGTTGGCCGTCCACGATGGATTGGTTAAACCTTTTAGCCAAAGAATATGATCTCTTTGATGACTTCGTACCTTCAGGCAATCAGGCCTGCAACAATAGAATTTGAATTTCGTCTCTTATGAATTTGCTTTCAACATGCTCTTGAAGAGGAATACTAATGTGGTCCCTTTGTTGAACAAGACCTTGCATGTGGACTACAACATTACAAGACGTGAACAAGGGACTTTACTATTTTGTTACACACTAATGTAAAGCAGAGCGTATCCCGTCCAAAAATATAAACTGCCTTGACATGTACGAGTGCAATTCAGTTTGGTAACGGTCATTGTTATAGAGCTTTAAAGGCGGCGTTTGTTGAGGCAAAAATAACTACTCAACAGCACCATAAATCTCAAGGTATAAAAGCACAGGGTATATTTGTTGACAGAATGAACTAAAATACCACCAAAAATGTCCATTAAAGGATCTATTGTAATGTCACGCCTACGAAGTTCTTTTAATCCGTTTCCTTTGATCTCGTTAATCCTCACCAGGCTGCGTCTATGCATTTATTACTGTCTTCTCATTCTGTTTGTCAGTTGGAATAAATGAGCAATTTGATAAAAACGATTTCTCTCATTAAATGCGTTTATCGGACAGCCCGATGCAGGAACTTGCTCACTTTATTGTTTTTGCTGCCCACAACTGGCTCACAATTCACGGTATCAACGCAACTGAGCAGTGTTTAGACTGACGAAATGCTCCTTTCGTACAATAAATAAGCCGTATTTTTCCTCAGATTTATACCACGTCCCTATGGGAAGATATTCCTATGAGCCACTGGGCTGGCATTTATCACTATTTGCGAGCGTAGGAGCAATCCTGTGCGTTTCTTAGATATAACTTTCACATTTTCATCAGTTTTCTGGAAGTACTTGTGTTTAGGAATGATTAAAACTTCCAACAATTGTGAACAAGTATCATCTGCCTTCCTGAATGAACTAATACACTATAATTGCATTTTTCAGTTACATTGCTTGCCACTGGGTTACGTTTTATTGCCAAATATACATTCTCAGTCATTGGGCTATTGTAATGACGTAAAACCGTGAATTTGAAATACCAGAACATGGTCAATAATTTCGCGAAGAGGTAATCTGGTTTGATTGTGGCATTATGCTGTCGATGATGAATATCAGATTGTTGTTAAGTAAAATTGTCTCAAAAATATTAATAACTGTAATTTACAGCTGACACCAACTAAAAAGAGGTTGCTGTTCTTTGCTTGGAATGTTCTTTCTTTCCCAGTTTCCCTGGAAGGTGATTTATGAAATCATTTCTCAGCTTTGAAAAAACATTCAGACATTTATCAGTATGAAATGAGCAGCGCTAATATCATTGATGCAATTAACATTATCTTGATGTATTTGATCTGGTGCTTGGTAATTCAAATTACATAAAAATGCAATCTA